TTAGCTTTACTGTACTACTTTTCTTACTACAAATTAAACTGTTTTATTAAAAGTTTTGGTTTTTATCAACATTTTCTGCACTTTTTGTGTTTAATTTGCAAAACACATTTAAAAATAATCTAAATTTAAATTAATGTTTTTTCTGTAACAAGGAAGAAAAAAAATCGACGCACCAAGAAGGAATCACCCAATTGCTTTGAAATTTCACATACATAAATGTTTTGACCAAATATGCAAATGATTAAAATTTGAATGTGCGATGAATAGTGCGATCTCCAGCACATTGGAACTGCACATCGAGCAGGTGTATATAAGGAGCTGTTGTTTAAAATTTTTGTTGCATTGCAATTTAGGATACCTTTTAATGACTGAAAAAATGCTTTGCCGTAGTATTTGAGCTCATTACAAGCAACTGTCAGAGTTTGAAAGAGGTCATATCATTGGATTGAAAGAGACAGGTTGAGCAAATGAGAGAATTGCTCGTCATATAAGTCGAAGCTATGCGACGATTAGGAGATGTTAGCAAGAATGGGTGGACAATGGCAGATTTCAGCGTCATGATAGTAGTGGTCTACCTAGGACCACAATAGATCGAGAGGACAGAGTGATTGTCATATCAGCTGTCACAGTGCGCGATTCATCACTATCAACCATTGGACGGACAAGTGTCCGCCATGACCATTCACAGACGGTTGATAGAGTGAAATCTACTCTCGTACCAACCGTTATGCCACCTGCCACTTACACCTGCACCCTATCAAGCCAGATTACAGTGTTGGCTCAGTCAGGTTGGAATGATGCTGACTATGGACGTATAGTCTTTAGTGACAAATCCTGCTTCCAATTGTGCCCTGACGATCATCGAATAGGGTCTGGAGGCACCAAGAGCAGCGTGCCGATCCTGCTTTCACTATTGCACACCACACAGTTCCTCAACCAGGAGTTATAGTGTGGGATGCCATTTCCCTTGATAGCCGCACCCCTTTGGTCATCATTAGAGGCACACTTACAGCACAGCAGTATGTTGATGACATTCTGAGACCTGTTTTGCTACCGTTCCTTTTGCAGTACTCTGGCCTTATTTTTCAGCAAAATAATGCCAGATCACATATAGCACAGGTTGCTATGAACTGTCTTACAGCTTATCAAACACTTCCTTGGCCCGGCCAGATCTCCAGATCTCTCTCCCATCGAGCATCTCTGGAATATGATGTGAAGACGACTTCATCTACCAGGGAATGTTGATGACCTAGCCCGACAGTCCTAGAAAATTTGGCAAGAAATACTGCAGGAGACCATCTGGGAGCTTTATCAGTCTATGCCACACCGTGTGGCAGCTTGCATCCAGGCTAGAGGTGGTTCAACACCTTATTGAGCTCGTTAATTTGTAACTGTGTAACTCTGAAATATATCATTCAATTATTCTGAAATTTTAATCATTATCTATTCCGTACATATTCTTCCTATTCACCAATTTTTGTCTCCATCGGACAACTCCTTCTTGGTGCATGGATTTTTTTGTTATAGAATGTATATGTAGTTTTAGAGTTTTAAAAAGGAGAGGGGAGGGCAAGGAATGGTCGTTTAGCAGTGGTGAAAAGGGTGCAGGGGGCAAAAAAGGTTAAGAAACCCTGATATAAACTTCCCGAATACAAAATTAGTCACCGTAGGAAAATCATGTTAATACTACTTTACACCATCTCTTTGTGCTGCTAACCACCTGCATTTGGTTGAAAATGTCATCTACGTGATTCTTCCTGTGTGTTAAATTGAACTTATACCACTTGTTGATAATATGATTACATAGATCCACTACACTGCTGATTGTGATGTTTCACTCAATTTTTCAGATAGTTCTACACTTTTCAATAATGTCTTCATCATGCCATTCTGGTATGAATGCAGCCCTGTGAACTGTTATCATGTTGAAACATGGAAATGTTGATATTATATTCTTCACGAAGATGTTGACTGAAAGACAGCAGTGTGATCTTTGAGAATGTTTAAATAAACATACTGATCCATATGAATGCTCATCTCAGCATGTGGGCCCATGTCATAGATCCTCTGCAAACCTGAACTACACCTTATACACATGTTTAGATGAAACACTTCATTAGGCCATCGGTGTTCTCAGTATCATGTATCATCTCCAAACTGACAAGATCATGATTTATTTAACCACATTGCAGGCCTTCATTCATCTATAGTCCAAGCTTGGTGATTTCTCACTGAAGACATTCATCTTTAAGTTCCTGTGTGGGGAAGTATTTTTGATACTTGCATATTATCCCATTGACCAGGAAGATTGGCTACCATGGAACCAAAAAGGTTTGGATATATTGCTAAAGTTCCGCCAATCATTCAATTCTTGTGACGTAACTGACCCTAACTACTCACTGCATGCAGTTCCCACTGAAATATCTACTGTGAAACATGTTGGAATAGACCTTCTTTCACTAATTGTAGTAATTCTTGTCAGGTTTGAAAGTTATTTGTGTTCACAAGCTGTGCAACACAGGAACAGTCACTTTGCTTTAGAATCCTTTCTGATACAGTGTTTCTCGACTGCAATCTGCTCCTTTTAAATGCTTTCAACAGTATGCTTTGAAACGCTATTAAATCCTTCAAGTCTGTGGAGCAGTGGGCACAGTTAAATGCATTTGCTCCATTTTTCCACTCTATCATAACTTTGCATTTTCTTATCTTAATGAAAACCATATACAGTAACGTTTCCTCACTCATCAGTGTTTTTTTTTTTTTTTTTTTTTTTTTTTTTTTTTTTATTACGTGCTCTGCCCTTGAGCACTACACGGAAAGGGAGGGATGCCCAGTGGAGGTCTTTTTAAGGGAAACTGGCTCGTATCCACGTTACACATGGGGAGAACCACGAAAACGCCCATGCAGCCAGCCCGTTCGCTGGGACTCGAACCCCGGATCAAACTACCAGTGTTTAGTGGCTTTAACCGCTCGGCCGCTGGTGAGGCCACTCATCACTGCTTATCACAGAATTTCTTACTCTGGTGACATATAACAAACCTAATATGTCACCTAGAGCAGTTGAACAAAACATCTGTGCTGCTTCACAAGGGTGACTAACTTTTTGTCCAGTACATTTTATGAGAACAAAATTAACTAGAAATTAGTTTGAGTGTGTCGAGCATTGTGATGTAATGAAATTTTATGGGGGGGAAGACGAAACATTCAAATGTATCTATTTGCAGAGAATATTTATTTTATTAAACAAAATGCATTATTAATTTATTTATTTTGTTAAACAAAATGCAAAGAAAGTTGAGACTAAGAAAAATTATTTAAGTATGATTCATGTAATTATAGCATATTAAAATGAATATTTTTAATTTCCAGTTTGCTGAGTTTGTTGGGAAGCTAACTAATAATCATAAAATTTTAAGGTGATTTAATTGCACTGATTAAAAGGATTCATGTTTCACAGGATGTAGATTCTAATGCAGATGGAGTAAAGTTTTATGTATTTTCTATGATATTTGCATGTTATCACGATGATCTTAGTAGAAATTGCTGAAGTTTTAGAATATACCAAACTCTAGCAACCTCATGCATAACAATTCTTCCATTTTAATAACCATTGTCAGCATTTTTGTATGCCTTTTTTTTTTTTTTTCTTTCATCTTAAACTCAATTTTAAAATTTGTACTTGTGAGATTTTTCTGTAACAGAAGAAACAGAGGTTATATTTCTGCTGGCATACAGTACTTTGCAGTAAAATCACTAAAGGAGTTAGGTTTTGAATTTCTTCTTGCAACTCAAGTAGTTGCTATGAAATTTATATCAGAGTGGGGGGAGAACCTCTTATAAGTAGATTTATTAATTTTTTATAAATATGCAATTAAAATGTAAATATGTATGTGTGTAATAAATAATTTTTTACAACAATGAATCATTATTTCTTTTCTCCATAAAATTTGGCAAATTTCATGAAGGTCCTAATACATAAGTAACCTTTTTACTGTAAGCAATTCATTGACTAGTTTAATGTGTTTTAATCTTATTAAAATGCATGTAGTAATGAATTATCAAAATTTTTTAAGTCACTATCAGTATTCTAAATTAAAAAGTATACAGTTGTAGATATGTTTATGGCTTATTTTGTCTCTAGGTTCAAAACTTGTATCATATAGTCAGCAATGTTTAAAAATTTTGCTGAAATATAAAGAGATTTTAAACTATATCTCTTTTCCTAAATAAGATGTTTGGAAAAAGGTATCTGTAGGCTTTGTTTCCTTATTTATTGACTAGCCATTTGGATAAAGCAATTGAATACGAGTAATTTAGCCCAGCTTTGAATCTCAACAAAACAGACTGGCTGTGGGGGCATATTCATAGTTTTTTCAATATGTAATATGAATATGAGCCAGTTTCACCTAAAAATCCCTTCTTTGGCAATTATAATTATGGGCAGAAATCCTTCTAATGGGCCTTGATGAGAATTTTTGTTGCCAAGTTTGTTACTTTTGGTGACATCTTCCGAAATCAGCAACATGAAGAATTTTTTTTTTTTTTTTTGTTTTTTTTTTTTGTTTTTTTTTTTTTTTTTTTTTTTTTTTTTTTTTTAAATCTCGAGAGCAATTTTTCTTGAAACTTTCAAAAGTGTTTTTTAACACTATGAATTATTTGCCTTATCTCTGCTTTCTCAATGAATTATTTATAATTATTTACCTTGCTGTGTGGGATGCTATTTCTTTCAAAAGTGTCTGTTTCTTTCTGCTTGAAGTAGTTGTGAACCTGTAGCTCATAACACTATTAAAACTGGTATGCAAGTATTAATGTATGTTAATTGAACAGTGCTGTTTTATCAACATGTTGTATATGTTAATATATACTATTTGTACAGGTATATATGTTAATAAAACAGTGCTGAAAATTTTGATTGAATGACTATTAAGTGCTTAAAAAACTATTGAAATATAGTAAATTATAATATCTACTTAATGGTTACTTTTTTCCCCCCATTTTAGATACAAGACAGTAGAATATTTGGATTGAAGATGAACTGAAAACAATCATGATTTTTAGAGTATTCCCTTGCATTTTGAAACATCATGGTTCAGTAAAATATTTGAAATATGTAATTTTAACATCAAGACAGGTAATAAGACTATTTATCTGATATTTATATATATATTATTTCACATGCTTACTTGTTTACTTTTCATATGCATACTATGAATTTTTCTGATCTCTCAGAGTGATAATCTAAACAAATTGTGTTGTAAAATTAATTTAAATATGCATTATAATGGTTAACATGCTGCAAATAGCAAACACCCTTAATAGTTATTTACCTATCAGCCCAGACTGCAGGTTAAATATAAGTGAAATTAAAATTTATTTAGCCACTCCTAGCAGTGGAATTTTAACACAAGCTAAAAAGATAATTCACCATATCAAAAACATTACAGGATGAGGCTACTTGTAATGATAGCAAAGATTTCAGTTCATTGTAAACAAGGATCTGAGTTTAAAATTAAACTCCAGTCATTTACATGTTCTGTAGACCAGCAATTCTTAACCTTCTGAATAACACGAACCATGTAAACAAAAATTGAAAAACTTTAGTACCACTGCTACATTACAATGATTATTTTTCAATTTCGGAATAGAAATATTTAAAAAAATATATTTTGCCATATGCAAAAGCTATTTGCCATTTGCTATTTCTATTAAATATGCACACATAAAAAATATTGAATTGAAACTTGGTTACCATTTTTATTATCAAAATTTAAGTTATAATACATTAATTCTAAAATTTATTGTGAAATTTGGGCTTGTTTAAGAAAGGTCAATTTCTTTGTGTCTGGTCATATTTCACTTAGCTTTAACCATAAATTAGGAACTTAATTAATTTTAATTATGTACTGGAATTTTTTTTTTTTTTTTTTTTTTTTTTTTTTTCTCCAAATATAACATGGAAGAAAATCCTTGTTCACACAAATAGGTTGTGCATAAAGAGAAATTTAACAGTATTTTTTTTCAGTTCAGCCTAAAATTAACAAGTGTGTTATTTTTGAAATCTTTAGTTAGAGTTCAACCAAAGAAAATTTCTGAGATTTTTTAATTTAAATGTCAAAAATACTTGGTTTCTTTGCGTATCATCTATTTTTTTCTTCCGTACTACCAGTGGTACACATACCACCGGTCAAGAATTGCTGCTCTAGACTCGTATCTAATACAGTATAAAGTCCAAAATCCGGATGTCCATTATCCCGAATGATCTAAAATCCGGACCTCAAAGCCACAAACTTTTTTTTTTGTATGCTTTACACATGCGCATTTGATTTTTCCTTCCATAATAAAATCTGTGGAGATTTTTACTTAAAAATTCCGATTCTTAATTTTACTTAGGCACTAAATAAAATACCTCGCTATGGAAAAACGATCATGTAAACATAAATTTGTGAGATTAATACAGTCAAAAGTCGTTAATACGGACTCTTCGAGACTCTGATGATTCATCTGACCAGGCAATTATCTTCCACTTATCGATGGTTCAGTCTCAATGTTTCTAGGCCCACTGTAAGCATAGCTGACAATGACACCCTGTCCATATAACAGTATTCCAAAATATAACCAACAAAATTGTCTTGCAGGTACCAAACTTTAGATTTCAGACAAAAAATAAACATAAATTTGCATTCTTTCCTTACGCAATGTTGTTATTGTTTTGATAATAATTTAATAAGCAAAATTTAAAATATTTTTAATTTTGTTAAAAAAAATTTAAATTTTGTAGGAAAAAAAAATCTTGTCTGTTAGCTCTTTTTAGATTAGGCATTCAACTTGTGAGTGATTTGAGTTTGAGATCACTGATCTAATGTATACTTAAAGTAAGAGATGGCTTTCTTTCCTCTAAATCATTCATTCAGTGGTTTTGATTTATTCACAGAATTTTAAAAGAAAAAACATAAAAACTTCAGTGGTTTAAACAACCTGATTTCAAAAATTTTGTATAGAACATAAATCCTGAATGAATCAAAGAAAAAATCCTAGATAAATTGTGATGTAATATTACATTAGTTTTTATCTTTTGATACAAAAAAAATTAAGGAAACAATGAAAACTTTGCTGTTTATAGATAATATCAGTCCTCATCTTTCTACATAAGAACACAGACACTGTATTTTCCCCATTAAATATCATATCTATGCATCAATGGATTTAAGAAATTTATCAGTTATCAGGGACTGTCTGATAAATAGGTGTGCAATGGTCTCCAACCTTAGGGATCCAGAAAGTAAAAAATGGAAACATCTTTAAAAGAGATTCAATTGTGCTTATATATTTAGCCCAATTAACACCACATTTGCTGATTTTTCACGTTCCCCCTTTGGCATTAACTAAATCATCATTTTGTGCCCAGCTGAGAAGCAAGTACTGCTTATTTAATATTGTTTATTTAGTTTTGAAATAGATAATAACATAGTGCAAATTAAATTATACTGACTAAAATAATAAACTGCTTCTTACCATGTTTAAACTGGAATGGAAAATAACCACGGAAAAAAACCCAAGTATCTGTACAATAATAAAATAATTAAGAAATGATTTTAAAATTAACATGAAAATTACTGTAATCAATACAAATAAGCTATAAACACCAATAAACTTCAGGTATGCATGATGTACAACATATAAATAAAGTAAATTACAGTCAAAAGTTGTTAATCCGGACTCCTCGGGACTTTGGCGATTCCGGATTATCGATTTTTCCGGATTATAGATCATCACTTTAAATCTGGTAAGATGGCATGCAGAAATTATAAAATTAAAATAAGAAACCGTAATTTATGAAATAAAGATCAATTAGGAACTAAAGAGTATCAAAATTTACACAAAAAAAAGCTTAATATTTATTTGTTTACTTTATTAAACATTTCTTTCAACGCGCGCATGCATAAAGCATACATTACGTATAATCGAAATTAGAAAATTGCAACCAAAAAAAACTATTTGATGTGTATTTGTGATATTTATAATGACGAGGAATTTGATTTAACTCATATCAAAGACGGAGTACATCGAGATGAAATACTACATTTAGTAAGGAATTATAAGCCAAATAAAATAAAAATATCTGCCCTGAAGATAAGAATAGGGCTGACAGATCAACTTCCAGTCCATTGCACGCCGCGACGTCCCCTCCTCCGGCAGAGCAGCGTGAAATTGATAAACAGATTTCGGAATGGTTAGAGAAATAAATCGCCTCTCTGTCACTTTCTTCATGCCTTTATCTGTTTTTTGCAGCAATTCCACTTTTTGTTTGATGGACATCGAAACATGCTTTCGTTTTGTAGATCCTTTGGCAGCTCTAGAATCGGAAATTCTTTTTGACATAATCGAAAGTTCAAGCTTACTTTTATAAAATTGCTCTGACGGTCTGCAAAAAATCCGGATCCAATTAGAAGATTAAGGAACAGTGCAATCTGCAGCATTAACTGAAATAGATAATTAGATAATTTTAGCTTAGCTTATACCATCCATTATGCATTAAACGTGCATACATCAACGTATTATGCGCATGCATTGATGCTTGCGCAGAAAGTTTGTAGCTTTGAGGTCCGGATTAAAGACTTTTGACTGTATTAAGCTTTTTTTTGTAAATTTTGATACCCTTTAGATCATGATTGTTCTTTATTTCATAAATTACGATTTCATATTTTTAAATTGTATAATTTCTGCATGCCATCCTACCAGATTTACATTGATGATCTAACATCCGGAAAAATCCCAAATCCGGAATCGCTGAAGTCTGGATTTTGGTCTTTATACTGTATTATTTACCAACAGCATCACTACTAGCTAAGCTTTAGTCTTTCATGGAATCAGGCGAGAACAAATTCTTGGTAACACATTGCCAATAAAGCAAATGTTTCAGAAGGCTACAGTTAAGATTAAACTTCTGCTCATAAATTACAGGGTGTCCTCCCAAAAAATGTGTTCACATTTTATGAGCCATAAATTTAATTTTTATCATTGTGTTTATTGATATACTATATACAGGTCTAATTAAGCCTCTGAGCAGCACAGCTTTTTATGTCTGCTTATACTGTACTTAAACAGCATTTATTAACTAAATTTATGTAATTAATTATTAGAGTCTCTGTTTTCATAAACTTTCATTCATTAGGATAAAATATAGATCATTATATAAAATAAGATAAAAGTTTAAAAGCATTAAAAGATCCAACTATCAGTAATAAGACTCGAATTTTACGAAGTAAATTAAGATATCAACTACATAAAAGGAAAAACATAAGAAAAAAAGGACATTGATGTGAAAAAGATATAAAAACAAAAATGCTAAAACAACTATGGAACAAGAAAGTAAATAAGGGAAGTAATGGTGTAAAAAAAAAAAACAATTATGCAAACATTTTTTTAATCTCCCCTATCTGGAGCTTCATAACAGAACTTGTCAAGGGAAAAGTGTTTTTAAAGTTCCATACCTGTTCGATTAAAAAGAGAGCCAAGACAAATTTCGCTCCAAAATTTAATGAGATTTGTAAACACAAACTTAATTTATTTGTCAAATAATTAGAAGAAAAAGAAGTCTCATTAAATTGTCTCTTTTCCCTATTTGTCTTAGCTTTCTTACATAAGAAAAAAAAAGAAATATTTAACATGCATACAATGACACAAATAAAACCTATGTTACAAATTACATAACTAGAAAATTTTTTACAATGCAAAAAACAAAAACAGAAAAATTAAAATTAGTCTCTTAAAGAATTCAAAGAGACAGTCCTGGAAAAAAACTTAAAAAAGGTGTGTCGAAAAACTGTGTTGAAAACAGTAAAGAAAAATGTAAATAAGATAGTCCGAGTTTATGTAAGGGAATGCGAATAAAAAGAACAATTTGAATTACTATTTGTAATAAAAGTAGAAGTGTCTTCAGATAAAAGAAAAGTCAACCTGGAACGAAGCAGTTTGCTAAAGTAAAAATAAAAGAGAGAAAAAACCCCATAATGAAAAATTTCTATTTCAATTTCAAAATGAAAGGGTGAAACAAAAAAAGGTAAAGCATTAAAGAGAGAACTTAAGCAGAAATGAAGTTGCATAAATACAAATGAAAACAGCCAAGAAACG